GTGCCTGCCTTAAAAGAAGACATGGGTAGGAACAGGAGTGATGGTCGTATTCCGCAAGGACACTCCGTAGCGTGGACGATGATTGGTCTACTCTGCGTGGTCGGCACTGTGCTATCTTTAGCCTGGATTAAGCTACTGATGTCCTACGCGTCCTCTATGATTAGGGTCGCGCTCTGGCTTAATGTAGGCATGGTGTTGGCCTTCGCTGTGTCCACCTTCTCGGTCAACGTATGGGCTGCTCTGTTCTTCCTGTTCATGGCTGCTATCAACGTGTGGTACATCTACGCAGTCCAGAACCGGATCGGCTTCGCATCGGCCAATTTAAAGGCAGCCTGTGCAGGTTTAAAACAGCACTCGGCCGTGTTCGTGGTGGCCTTCGTCCTAGTATTGCAACAACTCGTCTGGATGTTCCTATGGGGCGTCGCTAGTTTAGGAATGCACAAGCTCTTCGTCGAGGCAGACCCTAATTGTGACCGAGAGATCGATCTCGCCAGTCGCGGCCGTAACCACGGAGGCCTCTGTGTCGGTCTACCGGCCTATGCTGCTCTGTTCTACATGCTGGTGAGTGTGTACTGGGGACAGCAAGTGCTGCAGAATATCCTGACCTGTACGACAGCTGGTGTGGTCGCGACGTGGTGGTACCAGCCTAACGCTCAGAAGGCGACGGTGGGGGCGCTCTACCGCTCCGTGACGACGAGTTTCGGCTCCATTTGCTTCGGTTCATTGATTGTGGCAGTTCTCCAGGCTTTGAGGACTATGGCGGACATGGCTAAACGCCGTGCAAGTGAAGAGAACAATGGAGGACTCGCCTGTCTGGCCTGTATGGCTGAGTGTATCTTGAGCTGCTTGGCGAACATCGTGGAGTACATGAACCACTGGGCCTACGTCTACGTTGGTGTGTACGGCTACCCGTTCCGCACTAGTGGCAAAGCTGTGATGGATTTATTCAACAATCGCGGGTGGACGGCAGTGATCAACGACGATTTGACGTCGAGTGCTCTTTCCTTTGGAGCTTTTGGGGTTGGAGTCGTCACTTGTTGCGTTGGATTGTTGATGGTACGTTTCTCGCCAGTGGAATGGTTCACTGCGCTGGGCTCTCGCATGGGCGTGTACGGCACGATGGCTCTCATTGGCTTCATGGTTGGACTGAGCATGGCATTGATCTTGGCTCACGTGATCATTGCGGCGCTACACACCATTTTCGTTTGCTTTGCTGAGGTACGAGATGTTGGCGTTTATTGTACGTGTATCGTTCATTAACGTTGTTATGGTGATGTTGCTACTTCCTATCAGGACCCTGTTGCGTTCAACCGCAACCACCCGAAGGAATACGAAGAGCTGGTCGCTGGCTGGCGCCAGTTCCACGGCGACGCGTTGCTATCCGCTTATGGTGGTTCCGTCTAAATGCTCCAGTGCTTAAGGCGCAAGGGACTCGATATATTGAGGTTGACACGGAACACAAGAAGTAATAAACCTTGAATCTATAATTTGTATGCGTCCTGCGATCATGCCGTCAATGTCTCCTCATGAAAGTATATTAGAAGAGGTTCGGTTGAAGCAGTATGAACACTTGAACAACGATAATTATCGTAAAAGTACACGTTACATAACTGATAATATACTTCTCTGCTCTGTGTTTCTCTGCTTCCTGACTCTCCTGATCTTCTCTTACGCTCCCTGAGCGAAGGCATTTTCCTGGTAATTCTTTCGCAACAGATACGATGACGCATTGTGCAGTTGATGCTCCCTCTGCTTCTGTCCTGCAAAACACTCTGCATATCTGGACGTCTTGACCACTGCCACATTCAGTCCGCAACGCTGTGCTCGCATCTGCGAGTGCAAAGTCCACTGTTTAGACAAGTAATCGTACCGATGCACAGCGTCCAAGTACTCGTCTTTCTTGTTGGACCCTCCCAAGCAAAAGACGAACGACTCCTTTAGAAAACCGACCGCCACATGGCCACTACGACAGTCTGCAAAGCCGTCAGCGTCACTCCATGTGCCGCTGGTTAAGTCCATTCGCTCGCTTGTGTTCATCCTCGCTCCGTGACGAGATTCCCCTCCAAAGACCAGAATACTGTTACTATGTTCCTGCACAACCGCCGCTGGACCATTCCGAGCATGACGCATACTAGCCACAGTCGACCATTGATTGAGCTGAGGATCGAACACTTCCACGCTCTTCAAGTGCTTCCTACCGTCATATCCGCCAATAGCGTACACCAGTCCGTTCAATGCGACAACTGCAAGCCCACTACGTCCAGTCGAGAGCGGCGGCATGCTCTCCCATTGCTGCGTGTGAACGTCGAATCGCTCCACTGACGACAAATGCGCTTGGCCATTAAATCCGCCAACGGCGTAGATAAAATCCCCCACCACTGTCGCTCCAAGGTAACTGCGTGGATCTTTCATCGACGGCATCGACGTCCACGTATTGGACTCTGGATTATACATCTCCATACTTTTATGATGATGTGAACTGCTGCTCGTACCTCCCATGACGAATATCTTGTTGTCACTTGAGACTACGACGCCACTATACGATCGTCTTGTAGCCATTGGCGCCGCAGGGTACCACTCGCCACGATGGAAGTCCAGATACTCCACTGTATTCAGCGCTCCAGGGTTGTTAAACCCTCCAATGACGAACATTGTGGGGGTCAATTGATGCTTGGCGTTATCTTCAATCTCGCGCGCCAATACATCTGCAGTATACACGTCCATAGAGTCATCGATAGACACGGACGAGCGTCTCTCCTTGCTGTTGACCATAGCGTTGCCACTAGTCCGTTTCATCGGCGCTGCGTCCGTTCTACTGGGCAACTGCATTACTTCCGACAATTGTCTTTGTTTGGCTATGGGATGACGCATCATCCAGCTCTTGACTGCAGTGTCGCCCCTCGTAGACCTCTCTTTTTGGAGAATCTTCATCACTGCGTGTAGCGACAAGTTCTTGAAGCCTTCAGTCTGATACACATCGCAGAAGTACGTGTCGATCAGCGCTCGTGCCGCTTGTGCTAGTAGTCTGCAAGCTGCTCTCATCTGGAGCTGCTCGCAGCACATGTAAATGTCCACGCAGTT